TGCATAAGTCTAATATTGGAGGAGATATATGATGTATTTTAGGTGATTTCGTTTCTGTCTGCCTTCTGAATAAGAAAACAGCGGGCAGTGGTTCTTCTAATCGGTATGGTAATTTGGAGTGTATTGCTTTCTCTTATTTTATTTCTTAGAAGGGCATGTTAGACCTATCTCTTTTGGAAATAAAGTTTATTTGGTTTAAACTTAATGGGGGTGTTTGTAAGCTTGATCGATTCTTGGTTTTCTGGTGGGTGGTGGGATGTTTAGGGGACTGCGGCTCAGTGGACTTTCCATAGAGATGTTTTTGATAAATGCCCTATTATTCTTAAATATGTTATTTAAATGTGGGGCCTCAAGGAATTCTCTACCAACCAAGTTGTTTTAACCTTAACTCTTCCCCAAAAACTCAATAACAACTCAGCGGTAACATGTATTTTTATCCCTTGATTTCTATAAAATTCATTGTACTCCTCTGAGACTTTCTCAAGGTATTTATAACGCCTTAAACTCAAATCTCATAGCTCTTCCTTGTCATGAAAGCCTCCACTAGTTAACGATGAATGAATAATAACATTTGAACATTCTAAAATATATAGACCACATATTTTAGACCCTTTAGCAATAATCAATTCATCACGCGAAATCTTCAACACTCCATGTTCAACTCTAGTATAATAGCCTAGATCATCAAACATTACTTATAGATGACAAATTTCGCTTGAGTTCTGGAACATACCTCACATTGTGAATAAGAAGTTCACGATCATTAAACATTTTAAATTTGACCGTACCAATACCATGAACCTTGCATGCCTTATTATTACTAAGGTGAACTACTCCACCTTGCACCATCTTCAAAGTTTCAAAGTATTCTATTATTGGACACATGTGATAAGAGCAACCTGAGTCAATAACCCAACTATCTTCAGTTTCCAAACTCGATACTACTAGTTCTCCGGCATCCTCATAACTTTCCTCACTCAATACAACTACAACTTGAACAGAATCCTCATTGACCTTTCTTTTAGGACAATCCCTTTTAAATTGATCGATTATTTGACAATTAAAACATTTTACCTTTGACTTGTCATACCTCTTTGATTTGGACATCCCTTTACACTCACATTCTCCTCTTGACACGTTTAAGCCTTCAGACTATCTTTAATCTTCAAATCTTTCGACTTTGAAAATTCTTTGGATTTCACCGTCGTCTGGACTTCATCCAAAGTAATAGTACCTTCCTTACCATAAAGAAAGACATCCTTAAAGTTCTCAAAGGATCTGGGTAATGAACTCAACAAGAGCAAAGTCTTGTCCTCATCACCAATATTCACTTCAATATTCTCAAGATCATCGATAATCTTGTGAAATTATATAAGCTGCTCAACTATGGTTTGTTCTCCACCATTCGGAATGAATAGGATTGTTGTTTCAAATACAACCTGTGAGTCAAAAACTTTATCATATACAACGATTTAAGTTTTTCCCACATAGCAATTGCAGTTTTCTCCCTGGTGATTTATCTTAGAACTTTATCCCCGAGGCACAAAATAATGGCGCTCCTGGCCTTATCTACCATCTCGGTCTTCTGTACCTGTGTAAGCCCTGCAGGCATCAATGTTTCACTCTTTAAAGCATTGATACACTTCTCTTGAATTAAAATTGTTTGGATCTTAATTTTTCACAACCCGAAGTCGTTGCTAACGGAAAATTTCTTGATCTGTCATCTACTAACCATGGTGCTCACTTGTCAATAATATCTCTTTGATCCACGCTCACTGCGCCACTTGTCATGAATCTTGTTGTGAATTAGGACAAAATTCAATATCAATTTGTGAGGCAAAGAATAATAGCAACCAAAATAAATGGTCTTCAACAATAATAATCCGTACACAGATAATATAACAGAATAAGGCAAGAAAAAACCGAAGGTTTATTTACCCAGTTCGACCAAACGATCTACTCTGGGAAAGAGAGTAGCTTTTTAATTCACTATACTCAGAAAGTTGTTACAAGAGATTACAAATGAGTTACAAGAAAATAGCCTTCGTTTTCAGGTTCCTAAGAACAACCCTGAAGGCGCCCAAGAACAACCCTATTTTCTACCTAAGTGTTTCCCTACCTCTCCAACTCTCAATATATGAGTCACTCAAACCCAAGGTGTAATCCAAGGTTTTCTTTGTGCATATTTAAAACTCTATGTTATACCTTTAAACCTTTGGTCTCCCTTGTTGGTGAAAACTCTAAGATTGTCACACACCAAACATATAAGAGATACATATTTCTAATAGCAAATACCCAACAAACAAAGCCCAAAATCACATGGATCCATGGACCGTCGAAAAAAGTCTGAAAACTCAAAAATACTATTCACCATACGGACAACACTATTCACCGTACAGACGACACTATTCACCGACCGGTTTTTTTTCTCGATTTTTCGTCCAACTTTCTAAAACTTCTGATTTTTGCGGTAAATGCAATCTCCAAAATATATTTTCTTTCTCTTCATCAACAAAAGTTTTAAGGCACATTTACAACATGCAACTTTTAATTCTTGCCTTTGTCTGCATCGCTTTGCATATTTTTTTACTCTATTGTTTTCTTTATTTAATCAAGTTTACTTTCAATTTTTTGGTTATTTTACATTTCTTTCTTTATTTTATTTACATGTTATGTCTTATTATTTTTTTAATTATTATTTACCTCACCATGTGTAAGTAATCCTATAAGGACAAGAGGTTGTCAGAGTCTATCTCATGAAAACCCCCCAATTAATTCATCTGATATGAATTATGAGAATGTTAAATCCTTTATATTTTAAAGTCTGAGTTCCACAAACACATCCATGTCAGTTACGAAAGCAAAGGCAACATAGACACAATCATAGTCTAATAGGATATGTATCAATGTCTAACCAAGGATTACTAAACAGTAGAGTAGCAAGGTGACCGTCGTGACAAAGTAACTCGCTTTCTGTTGAGAAATCATTTAGTCACATTGAGAAACAAGTCTAATTGAGCACGCCACGAAAGTGGGTGATGCCCATTTTTATCTACTTTTCTATACAAATGCTTATATATTCTTGTAATCAAATATGGATAACCATTGGGGCGAGTCTATTAGAAAATCATAAACTTCGTGTCCTATTTTTATTATTTGTAATTTCATTTCACTTTGCAGGAAACAAATCACTATTGTGATCGCTTTAGCTAAACAATGTTAGAATTGAAATTCAGTACTCATATATATCTCCCTGTGAGTTCGATTTTTTTCTACTACTACTACGGTGCACTTGAGGTATATCACATGTTACCACACAAGTTGTTCTATAAATATAATTTTTGTGCTGAAGTAAATTAGTTTTGACCAAATTCATTTTTAAAAATCCTAGTTTTTTGAAACCTAAAATTGCCCCCTCTCTCTTTCTCTTTAAGTCTTCATTTAAATCAGATAGTATTGTGAGTAAAAATATTTTATTTGTGTGGACTAAACAGAGGTTATGTTATTTGTGTAGTGGTCCTGATCACTCTCTAAATTTGACTTAAAAGGTTCATCACTCCAAGAGGTAAACATTTGATCTTTGATCATGATCATTCGTAAGAATATCCCAAAGAAACAAAATTTGTTTATCTAAAGTGTTTTGCTTGTAATTTCACATAAACTTCTTCACACAAAACCTTAACGCATTAGATATATCAATTTTGTCGCTTATCAAGTAATCAACTTCAACTATTTCACTGAATATAAGATTTTAAGTCACATTTGACACATCCAAATTCTACATGGTATCAGAAAAATTCAAACTATTGTCTTTGGGCCACTTTAAGATAGGAATTAACAAAAGGGCATTACTTTATCCACCTATAGGGTAAGGGTGAACACACTAAAACCCCGATTTTGCCATTCCCATTTTTCAGAGATGTATCTTCGTACGCACCCAATGCACACACACACAAAAGGTGTTCCAAGTGATCCACCCCATTTAATACAAAAATTAATTCGGGGATACATCTCTGAAATCACCAATGTATGTCATTGATGGTGTTTTAAGTTGAGTGAGCTAGTTTAATCAAATTAGTGACAATTTTAGAGATGCATCTCTGAACGCATCCAATACACACAAAAAAAGGTGTTATAAGTGAGTCACAACCTTTTTATGCCAAAACTAATTCAGAGATGCATCTCCGGAATCACCATTGTATGTCATTTCACCGTCGATTGACAATGAAGAGAAGATTCAGTTCAACAAGTTTGAGCTGAAGATAGATGAAGATTTTAAGGGTTATATTGAGTACATTTCATCGTTACGAAACAAATTGCCTGATTGAATTGGATGCGAAAATTGCAAGATCGACCAAAGATATGTTGCAACGTCTTGATGAAATATAATGTCAAATTTATGTTGACGATTATCTATGTAATATTACGTATTTTGATGTTAATTTATATTTTTCTTCAACTATCTGCATCCATTACTAGTTTGTGGTTTAAGCTCACAGAGTATATTTTAAAAATGAATGTACGTAAAACTCATTAAATTTTAAAATAAGGGTTATTATAGAAATGCGCTTCTAAATTAACTTTAATCTAGATATGGAGATGTATCTTCAAACTTTTTTTTGGACAACATAAAATTGACTTACTCAAAAAAAAATATTACAAGTCTTTAATACAGGTGCATCCGAAAATTCATTTCATTTCTAACCTATTTGTCTATAACTTTTATTTATTTATTCAGGACTAGAACATGAGAGAAAAGGATTTGAGTAGAGATATGGGACCCACATGAAGCAGTAGTGCCATGCCGTTTTAGTCTTTTAGATCCAAAATAATTATATAATGCAGGCCACTCTTCCTAGTCCCTACATTGCTCTCCATTTCCCCCACACGCCCTTTGGCCTCTTAATTACCTTTCACTTTTCTCTTTCTTTCTTTCCATGTATATAAATACCTCCTTCTTCCACTAACATCTTTCATATGTCTTATTAGATATTGAAAGAATGAAAGAAGGTAGAAAACAAGGTGCAGCCTCACCCTGTGCTGCATGCAAACTTCTAAGAAGAAGATGTGCTCAAGATTGTGTCTTTGCTCCTTATTTCCCTGCCGACGAACCCCACAAGTTTGCTAATGTCCATAAAGTCTTTGGTGCTAGCAATGTCAACAAGATGCTTCAGGTAATCATTATTAATTCTTAATTTCCTTTTACATAAACATTATTATATATATTATGCATTTTCCTTATCAGCAATAATAATAATAATAAGGAAAGGACATATAGTGCTACTGTCGTTGTGATAAGAATGATGCCATAAACTTCCATTTTTAGAAAATACTTTTTCTCAATATTATACTATAATTATAAAATATTAACTACTCTAAATATCGAATGGATTAATGCTATACATAGGTTCACCGACACCTTTTATTAATAGATGCTTCCTCAGTGATTCATTTGAAATAAATTAATGTTTTAAAATATATGATTTATTTTAATTTTTAATGTATTTTTTTTAATTTTATATTTTAATTAATATTATTTTTATTATTTTCAATATATAATAAAGATATTTTAATATAAATATTATTCTCTTTTATTTATTTATTTATTTATTTTTAATCGGCATAAAATTGAAAACAAATTGAATGGCTTGCATAGATGAGTGGCACTTTCCTCGTTCTTTATTTTATTGACTAGTGGCGCTTTCCCTTCTTTGACCATATTCTTCTAACTTCTTTTTAGAAATAAAGGTTTAACATCATTGGTTTTTAATTTTGTACTTTATTATATAAAATCTCAACTTTTAATTTTTTGAAATGCTAAAAAAAAAAAGTAATGTAATCACATAACTATGTTATTCTTCTTGTTTATTACAGGCTTTCATATTTATTAAATTCTTGCATGTATCTCAAACTACATATCTACTCAAAATTTTGTGGCCTATTGAGGAAATTATGAAGTTATTTGGGTTTAAACACTATTATCATCTTTTTTTCCTCCTTTGAAAAAATCACGAGAAATAAAAAAATTATAATTTTAAATTTATTAATAATTAATTGTTTTATAAATATATTTGTTGAAAAAAAATATTATTTTATATTTTATAATATTATTTAATTTTTATTGTAAAGAATAATATAAAATAAATATGAGATATGTTGATAAAAAAATTTAGAAACAATATTTTTAAAAATATATATCATATTTAGAGACAAATATTAGTATTTAACAATTTTTTTTTCTAAATTTTTTGTTTTTCAAAATTAAATTAAGTTAGTCCTTATACAACTATTTTTTTCTCATTTGTGAATACACTTTTAATTTGAGAAAAAGACAACCTACCCGAAGAAAGTTTTCTCAAAAATATACTAAACTATAATTTGAATGAAATTAAAGGATGCATCATACACATTCACATTGCAATCTTTTTTTGAATTTTATTGTTTTCTTTAGCCAATATAGTAAAACTAGTTTTGGAGGTAACCAAAAGCCATGTCCACACACACTACACTAGCATAATATACAATTTTTTTACTATATAATGTATAATAGCAAGCCTTTGAAAATTTAGAAAAGGTAGAAAAGGTTAAACATTCGGCGCGTTCAAACCTCACATCGTACGTCCTAATCTCTTTGTCTCTTTTCAATTTTTTCATATTCCAACATTAGGTCTGTTTCATCTTTTGGTCTGCCATGTGATCCATAAAATAATGAATAAGACTAGCCAATAATAATAGGATTACATTTGAGATTTTATGTTATTTTTATTTTCATCATGTATTGGGCTATAACCAATAGGACCTTCTAAACATGGTGTTGTCCCCCAAAAATGTGGGTTGCAAAACGGATCCGGTTTACCAAGCATGTCTGATTTGCTCGACCTTTTGTGGGGCAGGTTAAGATTTTAAGCTCCCATCTTCTAGTATATATGTTTTTCTATGTTTTGATTTTTGCTGACTTTTTAAGTTGATACGAGTGCAAAACCTGTCAGACATGCCCCGCTCCACCCTCATTTTTTGCGGAGTGAGCTAATAGTATAGGCATGCACTCTCTACTACATCCACCTTGCGTCATTGCTTTCACAAACTTTTGTAGACAAATCTAAACAGGACAGATATGGCTGTTTGTCACTCTTCCCTAAAAGTCATGGTCAAGCACAAAATTGTAACTACTTAAACAAGCAATGACATTTTGAGATACTACAAACACAAGATCTTCAGTTTCTATTTGTCGCCATTAGGAAATTGCAGTACAAATTATTCAAATAACATTATCCTTCTACACATACACCACGTGAAGTTGTCTCATAAATAGTCAATTTTATATCCAACTATTGAACAAATTTTCTCATTTCATTGTCAAAGTCCATGTCACAATTTCTAATACATTACAAATATTTATAAATTATTTAATCTGCAGGACTTGCCTGAACATCAAAGAGGGGATGCAGTGAGTAGCATGGTGTATGAAGCAAATGCAAGAGTGAGAGACCCTGTGTATGGTTGTGTAGGGGCAATTTCGTCACTTCAACAACAAATTGATGTTCTACAAACCCAATTGGCTGTGGCACAAGCTGAGGCTGTGCACCTACGGGTGCGCCAAACTGCATCATCCTTTTGGAACAGTGCAGGACATAGCCCAACTAGCCCAACCTATAGTGGCTCTCCATCTTCCAAAATCAATGAATCACAAGCCAAACATATATTTGATATGGACATGGTGGTGGACCAAGGTGGTTATGCTGATTCAATGTGGTGATGCAATACAATACAACTACTATGGTTAAAATATATAATTATATATACTAGTAGTATCTATTTAGACTATACAAAAAAAGGAGGGACACATTATTTTTTTGAAGTAATGTTTTCTACCGTTTCACTTTAAACCTAGAGATCTGTTTGGATTCCGGTGAGTCTCTGAAATCCATCATATAAAACTTTATTTAGTAGAACAAAGGTAGAACTCTAGAAGCAGTGGTGGCGGAGGCCGTTCGCCCGCATGATTTAGTTTGGTTATAGGTTTCTCGTTGATGATTGATGAGATATATAGTATGGTAGTGTAAATATATATTACCATTTGACATTGTGCTAAGGGCAAGGTTATATGGTTGGATTGTGGATTTTTCATGGCAAAAAGACAGGATTGAGTTTTGTATTGTTGTTCTTTCTAGTGATGTTTGACTTTATGTTTTGGATTTTACAAGGAAGGTGCACCTATTGGCATTTACTTAGTTTTTCACAAGTATTGCTACTTCTTTGTAATGTTGGGATATTGCTATACAACTATGAATTATCATGTTGTTTTGTTTTCTTTACCTTTTGTTCTTTTTGGTGTTGTGTTTTCTTCTATGTATAATTTTGTTTTACATCATTGAAAGGTCATTTTGAGGGATTAAAAAAGAAAACCACTACATAATGTGCTACACACGCTTATTCATTAGTTCAACTAACGACATTAATAATACCCTTTTTAACGACAAATAATAGCACTAAAGTTAGTACTAGTATTTTCTTAGCAGTGAGGATATTATACTCTCTCTAGTCCCTACTTATTAGTATTGTTTTTTTACATGCTTAAATCATTCCTAATTTGAACTTAAGTGGGGGCAAAGCATGAATTGTGTTTAATAAGTAAATTAGAAAGTGCAGCTTTATATATTTTATGTTTTTATTTCTTGTAAAAAAAATGTACTTATTCTTTAGGATGAGTATTTCGTTCTTCCATTTGATTAACAAACATATCCCAGCAGCCACAACTATTAAAATAATTATTTATATAAAAAAATTAGAAGAAAAATATTAAAAACTAAAATCCGCCGAGTATTAAAGAAGTTCACAAAAAGAATATGATTTATAAATCCCGATATGATTAAGTTGAACTTTTTGTCTGAACTCAAATTCAAAATTCTCTGTGCCAAAAATAGCAATTTCTTTTTGAAGAAATTAGACTAAACTAAGAGCACCCCTGATAAGAGAAGCTTGCCCTATAAGCCATAAAAAACACTTTTTTAAAGTGAAACCCACAAGTCAGATTTAAATTAAAAAATCATGACTTAGTAAATAAATTAGTGTTAAAGTGTAGTGAAGAATTATTTACAGAGCTTGTATAGTATATTTCTTAGATATGCTGAATTAAAGGAATTGAAAAATATAAAATGAATGAATTATTCACGAACTAAGTGGAAATCAAGATCAATGAGTACATTGAATTTTTACTGCCTTTTAGGATAATTGAAAATTTGGATTTGTTAATATTTTATCGAAAAATGCTAGCAGATTACCGACAATCCCATTCTAATTCTGAATAATATTTCATTAACATGGTAAGCTATGAAATTGCATTACTACCAAAATTGAGGCACACCCTGGACAACAGCATGAAACTCTCAAAACATCCCCCAACGAAAACATGAGCTATTAATTGCACTACCAAAATTGAGGCATCATGATCCATAATTAAGAAATGTCTGAGGTAAACAAGAGCATCCAGAGTCATCAATTCCTTATCACAATAAGCAAATAAATGACAGTAGAATATTCACCTTCCCTGTCTGCATAACCAACTCTACCCTTCACATTTCCTTATTCAGAAAGATCATTGTGATAATTAGAATCAAGACGCCTCTTCATCTCTGGTTGACTGGCTGGAGGGCTATCCATCTTTCTCTTGCGATTGTTCAACAAGGATGAAGCATCGTCTATCATGTCCCCTTCTTCTGCATTGCATTCATTCCTGTCTTTCCGTAATTTCCCTTTCAACTCTTTGTTATCTTCACCATCAGGCTCAGACCAACTCCGTCTTTTCTCTCGCTTATTTTTCTCATTCTCAACTGCTAGCTCAACTCCATCTTCAAGCTCCTTCTCAATGAGATCATCCTCATCCATTATATCTTTCTTTATTGTCATTTCACTGCGTACCTTTCTCATTTTTTCTATCGCAGCCTTTACTTTGTCTTTGTCAATTACCTTGTTTGTCATTTCAACTCCATTTTCAAGCTCCCTCTCAATAAGATCATCCTCATCCATTGCATCTTCCTTTATTGTCATTTCACCTCGTTCCTTTCTCCTTTTTTCTAGAGCGGCCTTTACCTTGTCTTTGTCAATCATCTTGATTGCTTCTTTGGGTGAAAGTGGGCCTTCCCGAAGCTCCGGATTTCGACCAACATTAAAGCTAGACTTGTATGATGTATCATCACTCCTTCCTAATTCTGCAGCCTCCTCTGTACCAACTATTTTATCTTGGTCACCAGAAACTACTCGTTCAGCTCCAGAGATAGATCTATTTGCCACTTCTCTCTGGTTATCTTTCTCGGGCAACTTTTCTGAGGTCTGAGAATCCCTGGTTTCCAAGTCTATCTTGTGATCAGTAATGTCGCTACCCATTTCTGCACTACCATCATTGCTTTGGTTTTCTGTTCCTGTAAGTGGTGCTGCATTATTTTCTACAGATGTGCGCTGAGGAGCTGAATGAGATGCAATTTGTTTTGAGACCTGCTCCTCACTCGTTGCAGGAGCCTTTGAGGAAGCTCTCACCCCCCCAGCAGTAGCCCCTTCTGCTTCATTTCCTTGTGATTGTGGAAGCCTATTCTGCTCGTAAAGTTCCAACATTTGATTGCTAACTTCTGCAAGAGGAAAACAACAAGGACTCAGAAGAATATACAAAAGCATTCAGAGAGAAAAACAAAAGGATAGCCCCTAGGTTAAATAACAGCAAACTACCCGTGGCATAAAAGTGGACTTGTACTATAATAAAAATGCTTAACTTATCTAAAAACAGGGATAAAACATCATATTACGAGACAGTACAAGAGATTATTATATTGCATTAAGCCACAAGAACATGCAAGACTATCCAATTGGCACCCACCCTCCAATTGGCGTGGGGTGACATCAAACTCCTGCCACCAAACCTTCTCACCATCTGACGGAAGCTTCACTTTCAGGAACTTGGCAGCAAGGAAAATGGCACCTGCCGCAATATGATGTGGCTTAAATTGCAGGCAGAGTGATGTCCTCAGCCTGAAAGCCACTTTCCAGTGTGTGAACAAAAAAACTATTAAAATCTATTCAACAAAGTTAAATTAGAACGAGTGGAAACTGCATCCATACCCATCATTAACAAAATTCCATGCAACTTGTGCAAGGGCATTCTTTGCAACATTGAACTTCTTTATGGCCTCGACAAGGGGCTTGTATGGATGTTGGACATTCAAGTCAAAACCTAAAGTGGCAAGTACAACCCTCTCTCCAAGTAAAATTAATTCTTTCTGCTGCTCATATACTTCCTGCATCATTTACAAACTCTATTTAACAAACAAATATAATAGGGTCGTGGAAACAGGAACGAAACACCGCGGGGTTAATAAATGAGCGTCCAAAATCTAACAGGGAGACACTTTTAATGTATGGCAGTTTGAGTTCATTGGATGGAACCAGAGCAACTATCCAATAAAATGGTGTCTTGAGAAAAATGTTTGTTAATGACAAAATTCCATGCAACCAATTCTATTTATTAATAGTACTCTCTCTGGTTTCAAATACAATCTGACCAAAATTTTAAATTTGGCAGTCTAAAATACAAGCAAATTGCAACTAGTTCTACCCTATTTAATGATACCATAGAAAAGAAACACTGAAGGCAAAGGCGATAGCAATAAAAGCAATAGCTGTAGCAATAAGATCTAAGATAAATCAAGAAATTGGGATGTCTATACATAGAAAAGAACTGATGAAAACACCATCAGTAATAAAACACCTTCTGTTTTATCCTGTGTGCAGCTGCCGGGTCCTTCTTGTGAATCATCTCATAAGATATGAGAATAACATCCTTAAGAGGACGAGGAGTCTCCTCAACCTTTCCAGCCAAAAACATGCAAACTGTGGCAATTGTCTGCAAAAAGATATGCATCAATCGGATTATGAGATTTCAATTAAGTACACTTTAAGTTTACACTGATTTTAAATCTATCAATGTCATTATCTTAATATAAACTTGTAACATAACCACAATCAACTTCCACAAATACTTGAACTAAGCTTTATCCCAATAAGTAGGGTTGGCTGCATGGATCAGGCTACACCATAATGTTCTATCAAAAACCATGTTTCTATCCAACTTATTAATCTCGAGATCTTTCTTAATAATCTCTTATAGTTTTTCTAGGTACTCCTCTATCTCAAGTGGTTTGATTACCCTTCATCTGATCTACTCTACTTACAACAGAATCCATAAAATTTCTCCCTACATGACCAAGTCACCAAAGCCTAGTTTCCATTCCACCATCTTTTCTCCTATAGGCGTTACCCCAACTCTCTCACTAATTTTGTCATTTCTAATTCTATCCTGTCTAGTCTAGCCACACATCCAATGCAACATTCTCATCTCTAATGGCTACACTTGGTTAAGAAAAAGGAACAAACTCGGCATAAAAACATTATGCAAAAGAAGCGAGAAATCTATGATTACGAATCCCTATTGAAGAACAACAAATGGTAGTCAGTATGAACATTTTCTAACTAAATCGTTAACGGTTTTTTAGAATATAAATGCAAACAATAAAAAATCAATATTGAGAAAGCATAATACATAAATGCAAGAAATGCAAACTAGAGCTTTGCAAGAATAAGTAGCATTAATGCTTTGGCATGTGTTAAACAACAAAAACTGTAATTAGCATATACATAACACAAATTTCTAATATCTTTCGGATTTACTCATCAACCCAAAAGCTAGCTCAAGGTATGAGTTTGACAATAACCCAGGCCTCATAAAGACTACTTTGGCCATATCTCTAGTTGATGTGGGATTTCACACACATTCTTAGAACTACTTTGACCATCTCTAGAAATCAAGACACAATTTCTAGGTGATCATATCTCAAGTCAATTGAAAGACTAATGTGTTGAACTTTCATTTGCTAGAAAAAACTCCAAAACCAAACAGGCATTTTTCAGTTGAAAATGCCAATATGGAAAAACAATAAACATCCAGCACATATCTGCCAACACAGCATTACCAAACATTGAAAATTAAATTATAAACAAATCACATAAAAGTAATATTATGATAATTATTTTGTTTGTTGCACTCATTGTATGTAGTTCTCTACAATGGTAAACGAACAAACATCCTATACTAAATCAAAAAGCAACTCAAAAAAAATCAGAGGAGGTAAAATGCCTACAAAATATCTATAGAAAGCATAACAACCCACCCTTCTGTCATTCTTTGCATGAGATTGTCTGAGAAAGAATCGATGACAGAATATTACGGCCGTTGCTATAGTTACTTGAGGCCTGCAGGGGATGAAGTTACCGTCAATATGCAAACTTCCAATTGACTTTCAAGATTAGGAAATAAATATTTATGGCATAATGACAAAACCAAAGTACATATAAAAGGAAATCGGCATTCGTCTTGCAAAGACTAAAAATATTTTTTTGGTAAGCCAAAGAGTGCAAATATAAACATAATATTAGATCAGGAACAATGCACAATAGGAAAAATGACAATCAAATTGCAAAAATATAAGTTAGCATAAACTTAGTGCTATAAAATTGCACAGTTGGCGCACCATTAAGATACATAGTCATATGGACATGAGACGAAATTTAGAAACATTAAGATGAAATGAAACATACAACCCCTCAAAGCAATTCCAAACACATAAAAAGTATCTAACTCTGGAAAAATAATAATTAAATACTTATAGTAATTACAATCACATAAAACTCACACTTTAAGTCGCATGCCTAAATCTTGTAAGAATGTGCAATATGACTTGCGCAGATATGTCTCTTTCTTCAGGTCGATTCCATTCTTTCTTGATGGGGAATTTTCTTCTATGTCCTTTCGAGACATATACCAGCGACCCAGCGCTTCCTCTTGCTTATCTATAGAACCTTTACAAGGGTTTTCATCAGACACAAGTGCTGCCATGTGTGTAAATTACACTGTTGACTGAGTTAATTCTGTATCACTTGTTCAGCATCAACTAGCAGAAAGATTCTGGAGGATATATATAAAATAACAATGAATACCATTGACCAAGAATTTAGAGTATTGTAACAGAAAATATGAAACTGTATGCACGTGAGAAAAATCTCAATGCAGTATGATAAAGAAAGTGAAACAACCATACAAAATTAATAGAAAAGGCAAAGAGATTGGAACTGATGTTGAGTTGAGAGAGAATGTTTCCCCACATCATTACATGTATGCACACCCTCTTGAAAATGTATTACCAGGCAAAGAGATTGGAACTGATGTTGAGGTGAGAATGTTACCCCGCATCATTACATGTATGCACTCCCTCTTGAAAATGTATTACCATGAGTATTAATATGACTAATTTTCTAAATATTATTTCAAAACTAATTAGGTTACAATCTCTGAACTGTTTAAATAGACTATGCTTATACCTAACGGGACTAGTTAACAGTCCAAATTTAATTTGAGCAAAAAATTACAAACTCCAAAATTATATTTACAACACTAATTAAAGCTACAAGAACTCTTCTTAGACACGGCTAGTATTTACAAGACTATTAAAGCTACAGGAACTCCTCTTAAACACGACTAGTGTTTACAACACTAATTAAAGCTACAAGAACTCCTCTTTGACTCGACTAGAATCTACAACGCTAATTAAAGTTACGAGAACTCTTCTTAGGCCATGTTTGGATATCATAAAATGAACGGAGCGAAATGGAGCGGAGCGGAATGAATATTCCATTCCATCGTTTGGAAATTTTAGGACGGAACCAGACAAAACAAATTCTTCATTCCACCCAAATCGGAGGGGAAGAAATATGGTGATAAGTGATGGAATGGAATGGAATCCATACCACTCCATTCCGCTCCTCTCCATTCAATGGAACTCGTTTTCGATAGCGCGCTATAGCGCAATAGTGTAGCAGTACGGGACCTCGGCGCCACACTTATGGGCTGCTAACCACTATCCGTGATAGCGGAAATAGCGTCCGCTATTTGTGATGTCATGGCGGCGCAATAGCAGCGCTATAGCGGTTCTGTGGCGGTCTACCAACCGCTATTGTGAAGATGAGGGCAGTATTGTAAGTTTGAATATTTTCAAGGCAAATTGGTATTTTTCCCTTTTATTTGAGTAATATTATAAAAGCTCATCTAGGTCATTCCCAATTCTCTCTTCATTCAAATCAGCAGCGGTGTATCTAATTAGTCGTCCTCTCTCTTAGCAAATTTTCTTCTTCCACATTCTTCTCACCCTAAAAATCAACAAGCTGTGGATCTTTCTCATCCATTCTTCCGCATTCCTGTTTACCTATTCATCTTTTTCTGCACTTTCTCAACCATTCACATCTATTTCTCCCGTGTTTTGCTAATTTCTCATCTATTTGGTTTTGGGAGATGGGTTGGCTTGGGAAGTTGTTGGTAATGCCGCTGGGCTAATGAAACAGCAAGAGTTACTAGATATAACTTAAGACTTGCTACATTAGTGTCTAATGGAGATGAGGAGTTGGAGGTGGAAGAAGAGTTTTAAATTGAATCAAGTGATGATCAAGATGATATCAGTGTGGTGGATCTTAGAAGGGAAGATGAGACGGATGTGATTTTTTCGTTTTGTTTACGTTTATAATTTGGTATAGTCATTTTGAGCACATTAATGATTTGATTTTGGTGGGAACTTATATTGTGGTGTTGTTGGAATTTATGTATGTTGTTGCAACTTCTGTTTTTTAAGGCATTATGTATGTTGTTGGAACTTATTTTAAGTATTTATCTTGGTTTTTAAAGCTCACAATAGCGGTCATCCTGCTATCAGCTATGCCGCTATAGCATTTTGGGGGTCCGGCGCTACGTGCCGCTATCCGAGATTAACAACCTAGAAATGGAATATCACTACATTCTATCTTACTGCTCGGCTCCATCTAATTCTATCAATCCAAACAAAGTCTTAGACAGGTCTAGTGGCCTACCCAGCCATAGATTGATGGAGGTTAAACTAAAACATACATATTACAAATAGGAAGCAAGGACAGTTTTCTTATCTAATTAACAACAGCAACAACCAAGTTTTCCCCCCTAAGTGGAGTGGGCTACATGAATCAAATTATGGAACTCAATGATCTCGAAGTTTTTCTATCTAATCAACAAAAAGAGGAAAAAAGAACACCGCCTTTAAATAAATCCCCACATGAAAAATGATGATGAAATCACAAAGAGAAGAAAAAAAATATACAAAAACATAAATCTACCTAATGTTCGAAACCAATCGATCTTGATAGACCAAACCCTAATTTGCATTCCACAACCCAGACTAAATGATAAAAAAAATTAAATTAAATTTCCGTGTAGAAAATTCTCCCAAACGCGCTCAATAGCTCCGATAGGGTTTCAATAAATAAACAAATTGAAGGGAAAAAGATGAATGAATAACGAACCAATTGAAATTGAAATTGAAATTGAAATGCATGTGTGCATATATGCATACAGACAAATCGATAGATGGATCGATAAAACGCATCGTGATGAGATAAAAGAAAAAGGAAATCGGAGGTAAATAACATACCGAAAAGGAGGAGAAGAAAACTCATGAATTGCAAGGTTTGTGTTGGTTGTTACGGAGATAATTTGTGGGAGTCGTCGCAAGATGCAGCAAAGCTCAAGGATCGATCGAATGCCCTCGCTATCGCTACCACGTTATTTGTGTTTCGTTTTTTCCTTTTTCACTGTGTCCATCCAGTTAGCAGTATCCCAAATTAATACGGAGTACTATTTTATTTTATATTTATATTTTTATATACCAGCGCGTCCTCTATTATTATTACTAGATTAGATTTTTCTTTTATCTTTTTGGTAAATTATTAAATTTTTCTTTTCAAGAAATTATATCTATTATTAGGAGTTAGTTAAATTAATTCACCGAAGCTATATATTAGATTTTGCATTATCCTTAGCATGATTTTTGGACGGAAAAAAGATTACTCCTAGATATTCTCCACTTTTTTTCTTTTTTTAAATGACAAATGTTAATATTATTAATTAAATTTCTGATGGTTATGTCAATTTGTTTAGAGAAAAAACTAATTTATTACGTCTACATTAAATTAGGTTGATATTTATTTAAGGTTAAGAGGCAATGCAGTAGATAGTAGGGGTGTATATATAATCAAGATCCATCTAAAATGGATAAGCACATATTAAAAAAATATAAATTTTAATGTATCTTAGGTACCAACCAAATTATTTAAATATTTTTAAATTTTGAAGATATATTTTTGAATACATTTATTTCTGAATAAACGTTGACATATTTTAAAGATATATTTTTGAAATCATTTTAAACATTTAAAACATGTCATTCAATAGTCATTTACATTTGAATTGTTTTAGTGATGCATCTTCGGTGATACTTCTGAGAGACATACCTGAAGTGTATCAGAACAAATATTTTTTACTATAAATTGTGTATTTGTTTTCGGATGAAATATGACGCACAATCTCGAATAAAAAAATAGACGTACAAAATGATAAGAGACTAATATTATGTGTGTCAAAAATAATATAGTAATATATGTATAAAATAGTGTACAATCGAGATCCAAATCGTAATAAAATCGAAAAAAATAAAGTAGAAAGTATAGTACTATAATAAAATAATAACAGACTATTACTGTGTGTGTCTGACGACATATCATCTACCTCATTTGCTTGTTCTACCTACTATGTCTGCTCTGGCTCCTTGGTCATCAATCTCCTTAGTCTTTCGGTGATGTCTCTGGTACAATAGTGCCCCTTATGCCTCCACCATGATGGCATCCAGGACTCGCCTGACACCAAACCCATCAGGGAAGATACCTTCGTCAATGCATACACGCGCAATCTCCATTATGCGACGACACTTAGGCAAGACATCATTAGTATGATCTAGATGAACATGTTCCTCCTCTAATATCTGCTGATGAGCTGATCTCGACGGATCTCCTAGAGCAGTATGCACCACGTACGGATGTGACACCCTGAAGAACTATGTGATGTACCCTACGAGACATTGTCGGTGTGATAGACATCTTCCAGTATAAAAGACTTTGAGCACTTAAAAGAATGTATATGTTAAAAATTTCATATACCTTACATGATGAACAAAATCTAGTAAACAAGGTCATGTCTTCAAGATCTTTTTCTCCTTCTTTGAATATAAAATGATTGAGTATGTCTTCATCAAAACATGTTGGAAGCTTATATTCACAAAATGCTTAACATACTAAAAACTCTTAAGTTAATTGGATACTCTGAATATCAATTCTTGGGGAGAGGATTATGTCTTTTTCTTTTTCGATCAAGCCTCTATAACTTCTGGTATCTTCTTTCTTCCCTTAACTTTTTATATTTCTGCATTTTATATTCTGCAATTTTATTTTTTGTTGCATAACTCTAAAATATTTTTTAATTGGTTTTAATTCTAAAAGTTTTTCAAAAAAGGGAGAATGTGAAACCTTATTTTGCAGGTAATATAACATGCTTTTGATGATGACATCTAAAAAAAATTAACATGCCCTTGATAATGACAACAACTTAAGTCAAGTATAAAGCGGTTAAAAATCCAAATAAGGATATTAGGGTTTGATGAACTTGACTCTCTAATGATGGTAACCAAATGGAATATAACTTGAGTCATATCTTAAAATAAACTCAAGCAAGTATCTATAAGGACGAAGCATCTGACAAGTTTTAAAGTATATGAAAGTCTTCCTTGACACGCCTTAGTGAATACATTTTAAATGCACAATGGCTTTCTCATAAAAGTGCATGGCTAAATGGCACACACTCGTAAACAGCTTTCAAACTTATTTTTCGCAAGAAAACATTTCTTTTGAAGAAATTATATCTATTATTATGAGATAGTTAAATTAATTCATTGAAGTTATATATTAGATTTTGCATTATCCTTATTATGA